CCGCTGGATTCTTCGTGTGACTGTATGATGCTCTGCCAATGCTCTGGTAAAAAATACATCCAGCCAACAAGAACACCTGAAAGCAATTAAAGCTTGGATGCAGCTCAAAGGTGGGTATCTTGATTAGAAAGAGACAGCTTTCTTTTTACTTCAACCTTCGAGTCTTTTTAACCAGATTTTTCTACTGCTAGCCATACTAGAAAACAAGTGTGATATATACAAACAAGAGCACTCTATTAGAAACATGCTCATGGAAGAGCAACTACAATTTTTAAAATATTTTAAGCAAATGCAGATATTTGTGTTTATTTTCTCATCAGTACTGTGAAATGCAGTCGCTTGTACCTTTTTCCTCCCTTTCCTCCACAGGGCAACAAGATAAAAGTACATCAGAGCAGAGCTGGGAGCATTTCCTTCCTACTCAAAAAGACAGAAGTGGTTGGGTTGGTAAATGAGGCAGGACTGGGGTGCTGTTCAGATAGAGATGGCTATGGTAAACTTCCACCAAGGAGACTAAACATGGAAGTACAATGCTAGCACAGATATGCAGCAAGGACAGACCTGGACTGGAGAAGCACAACAAAAATGACAAAAACAGGGCAGTAAGGAAAGCATAGCAGAACGGGGGGTAGAAATCAGTAGTAACTGTATCAGGAAAAGAAGTCAAAGGCAGAAAGAGGCAGGAGTGGCTCGTGGAGACTGAGATGGGAGGGGAGCAAGGGGAAAAACAATCTTTGTTCACACACTCCCCTGCAAAGATCCTCAGGTTCCATATTTTTTCTGACACAAGAAAGTGAAGGCGCTATCGACTACAGAGCTGTACAAACCCACAGCTGGTGGGGAGCTGCAGTCACTGCCGGCTCCATTAATTCACACGTGAAAGGTCTGTTAGTGAAGCTCACCTCTGCAGCACCTAATGGTGAACTGAACTACCACTTGCTTTTCAAAAATGAATTACTGCAAGTATGCATAAACAAGTATCAGCATCGAGTCTGAACATCAGGTGATTCAAATCAGAATCTTTATTACAGTACTCTGCTAATTCCAAGTTGGATCCTTTCTGAAGGGTAGCACTACTGCATACGAAACTCCAAATTGCAAACAGAAGTTTCTTATTTCCCTACCTCAAATTCTTTCTTTTGCTTGCTGAAATAAAGGAATATAATGGAAATTCAGTGTCAAGAATTACAGTATCAACAGTGAGGAAAAGGGTAATTGGGAAGGTGAAGTTCAGATACCAATTAACTAATTAACTAAGCAACACTTTTCTTCAGAGAGATACACAGCAATGCTACCTTTACTGATGTTGTAATTCAACTTTTATAACTCTCCTGCAATAATTGCTGATGTCTGAACTTACCCAGTAACTAAAAATGGCTCAAAACTGCCTCTGAGAAATCATCCAGCCCCTCCTCTGGGCCACTACAGAATCACCTACCACTACATCACTACGATATGTTTATCTTGATGTTACCATTCCCCAAGCTGAAGGTTTTGTTACCTCTTTGGGAAAATTGTTTCATTGTTTGGCTGCCTTTAAATACTTGAATTCTAAAGTTAAAGTGATTTGTAGTCAACATTCCTGTTCATAGTGTGGAAAATAAAGAGAGAGACAGCAACTTAGCTGTTTTCAATGCTTTAGAAGACGAAACCTTGTAAATGCTACCTCAGCATCATTTACCCACTGCTTGACAGATAGGGCCAGAATTCACCCTTGCACTCTAGAACACCTTCAGTAAAGTAAAAGAAGTTTTGGGAAGCTCGCTGAGAGACAAGAAATCGTGCTGTGCTAAGGTAAATGATGAACTGTTTTCATTAGTTCAATCAGTGTCAGCACTGCTTTTATCAGTAGCACGGTCAGGTTGTGGTTGGAGTTGATGATCTTGAAGCTCTTTTCCAACCTGAGCAATTCTATGATTCCATGAATAAGCAGCTCTATCGAGAGCGTCTTCTCCAAAGAAAACGCAGCTGAAGCAATATTAAGTGACTGCAGTTCTTCCAGACGACTGGTACAAATTTATGAAGAGAAACTGATGTTCCTTACCTCCCTGAAGAACGCGGCATTCCTCTGAATGCTGTTGTCTGCATGAGCCTCCTGGATTTCCGGGTAGAAAGTGCCGATCACGTAATCCAGCATCTGCATTCGAATATCGTTCCGGTTAACGCTGGGACCTTTGCGTCCTGTGTATTCATCAGGAGGTTTGAAAATTTCAAAGGAACCAAATCTGTTTGAAAATAACAAAAACGTGGCTTAGAATTACTTGTTACTACTATCTGATCACATTAACTTCCTCCAGCGTTACCAGTAGGGAAAGGATTTGTTGGTGCAATACCATCTTTTGAGTTTAACACCAGTCCTTCAACCAACTGTGAGCAGAAAACTGTGACTGTGCTGAAGCTGCTGAAACTCAGTGACTCAACGGAAGGAAGCACATACATCCACACAAGACAGATCAATATTTAAAATACTGGACTTGACATCACGTTTAAGATATATTTTCCCATATGCACATGCACATAAACATACATTCTTTATGTCTCACATTTTCTTAACATGCATTTTCTTCTAAGGCAACATTATCTTCCCCAAACTCCTGTTTTGCACTGGAGCAGGAACTTCGTGTGCTTTTCAGGCAAGGAAAGTACCACCCTCAGGCTTTTAGAGGGCAACCCAAACCTCAAGAGTATCATTATAACAACTTTGGAACCAGGTGTGGAGCCAATTCTACTAACAAAAAAAAATAAAATAAAATAAATAAAATCACACGCAAGCATAAAAATTAAAAACTTATTTTGATATCTGCAGAACTTTCTATCCCAGTGGTACTCTGAGTTGGTGTCTATCTCCCCATGGGCAAGATGCTGCCTTACCTCACCCCATGGCCTACCACAGCAGCTTCCTAACACACAGCCTGGCAAATGAGTTCCAAGATTCCAGAACAAGACCCAAGCAAATGCTGCTGTTATCAAAATATGCTTAAAACGATCTTTTTGTGTCCAGTTTTAAATGAATAACAGTAAAAAAGAGAAGTGGGCTTCTTCCTACCTTATAAATGTAGGCGCAATCCTCAGAACAACTGTACACCTTTCTTTTTTTGGATTTCCATCATAAAATACGTCACGAACAACTTCCGAGTCAGATGTCACACAGGTTCCAGCCCTCGTTGTTGGAATTCCAAGGTGGAACATGGCCTCGCTGCACAGGAACTCCCGTATGCTTGACCTCAGGACCTTCCGACCATCGGCTTGCCTGCAGCAGAGACACAGACAGGTCGTAAGCCTTCTGACTGCACGGGAAGGGATTGCTGCCTCCTCCTTAGCAGAGGGAAGCAAGGGCTGAGAAGTGAAGTGCTGTGCTGAAAATCACAGGGCAACACAGGGGCAGATTCGAGCTGGCCAGGCCTCTGGGTTTCTGGTGGAGCTCAGAATGAGTGGCCACAACACATGTGCAGTGAAGCTCACATGCAATGGAAGTCAAATCTAAAGGCCACGTAGTCCAACTCTCTGCCACGGGCAGGCTGCCACCCACCAACTCAGGGCCCCATCCTGCCTGGTCTGGGATGCCTCCAGGGATGGGGCACCCACAGCTTCTGTGGGCAGCTGTGCCAGTGCCTCACCACTGAAGAATTTCTGCCTAACATCTAACTTAAATTTCTTCTCTTTTAGTTTAAAGCCATTTCCTCTTACCCTCTGACTGTGTAAAAAGTTGCTGCCCTTCCTGCTTATAAAAGCTCTCTGAGTACCAGAAGACCACAATGAGATCTCTTTTTAACTCCAATAAGCTTTGAAAATTAATACTTTTGTAACATTTAACCAACACAGTACAAAGACTACACAGTCCTCCAAGCTGCACACAAGTGGGTTTGTAACTGTCCACGGTACGGGAAGAACACCATGGCAGTAACCAAAATAACCAGTAACACATGCAATAAGTCTATTTTGCGGTCCATTCTGTACCAGAAAAACGGCTACTGGGCCTCCCCCAGGTCTCAGCTGTACACGCTGAAGCGCTGTGAAGTTCAGGCAGAACGGAAACAGAACTCTCAAGAAACACGAGGATGAAATCACACAGGCGTTCGGACAGCACACGCTCCGAGACCTTGCCCAGCCCAGGCTGGAGCCGGGGCAGCGCCAGCAGCGCAGTGAGCAGCAGCACGGCCAAGCCAGCGGCGCTCCCCCCACCCGGCCCCGTCCCGCCGCCCCGTACCGGGAGAAGGGGGTGATCCCGGCGCCCTTCAGCTGCAGCTCCCAACGGGCGCCGCGCGGGCCGCGCACCTCGCCCAGGTAGATGGCGGCGCCGTCGCCCAGCTGCCCCGCGAAGCTGCCGAACTGGTGCCCGCAGTAGCAGTGCGCCGCGGGCTCCGAGCCGGGCAGCAGTCGGTTCCCGCTGAAGTACAGGGCGGCCTCCGCCTCCCGCTCGGCCTCGAGGCCGCCGGCCTCCAGCCCCAGCAGCGCCAGCGCCGGCAGCGACGCGGCCACGAGCCGCGGGTTGCGCAGCGGGGTGGGCCGCACCCGGGCGAAGCAGGCGCCGGGCACGGCCCGCGGAGCGCCGTCCTCGGAAGGGTCGACGGGCAGCGAGCGCAGCGCCAGGTTGTCGAAGCGCAGCGCGCTCAGCCAGCCACCCCCCTCCGCCCCCTCGGGGCTGCCCGGCCGCGATGGAGGACCCGCGGGGCGCTGCATGGCGGCGCGGAGGACGCGCGGCGAAGGCACCGAGCGGCGGCGCAACGCCGCGGCCATCCGCCCGCCCCCGAGGAGGCCCCGCCCGCCGCGCGGCTCGGCACGGCCGCGGGGAACGGAGCCCTGCGGGCGGCCGGGGAGCGGTGCGCGCGGGGCTGGCGGCGGCGAGTTGGGGCCAATGGGCGGCTGCACAGCGGGGGTGGGCCGGCCTGCCGGCGGCGCCTAGGTCACCCGGAGAAATAAAAGCCGGAGCCCGGCGCTGGAAGGACTGCCGGGACGGGAAGATGCGCGAGCGGGAGGAGGAGCGCTGGGGGCGGTGAGTGTCTGCGCGGCGCTGCCGCTCGGTGAGCGCGGGTTCGTCGCGGTGTTTCAGTCGGGGCTCCGCTCCTGCCGGCACAGCGCCGAGCCGCCGCGGCGCGATGTCGTGGCTGACGCGGGCGGGGAAGTCCAAGGAGAAAGAGGAGCCAGAGTGTTCCGTGGGGCGGGAGGAGAGGGGGCTGCTGGTGCAGGTCATGCTGGAGCACGGTGGGGATCCCTGGGATTATAAAGCTGTCGGCCAGGATCCCACCCTGAAAGCCGCCGAGAGGCACTGGGTGAACTACGTCTCCACGTATCACCCCAAGGGAGACAAGAAGTGCTCGGCCCTGCAGTGGCTGCTCTTCGACCTGGCCAGCGTCCTCCAGGCTGCGGTGGAGGAGAAGGAGCAGTGCGCGAAGAACCTGCAGAACAGCTTGCAGGTGGCGCACAACGAGATCCTGGCGCTGCGCTGTGACAACGCGCTGCTGGGCGAGCAGCTGCGGAGGGCCAGGGAGGAGCTCAGGGCTGAGAGCGCAGAGAACGCCCGGCTGAGAAGGAAGGTGCAGTGCCTGAGCAGGCTGCTGGGGAAGGGGCTGGATCAGAGGAAAGTGGCGGCTCTGAGCGAGGGAGACGGGGAGCCGGGGCTGCGGGACGGGGATGTCTGGGACGTGGAGATCCAAGAGAACTCCGCTGTGCAAGGTGGGGTTGCTGTGGGTGCCAGGAAAACGAAACTGGCAGAGCGAGAGGGAAGCGCAGGAACGGGGGATAGAGATGTGTCAAAAAAAGAGAAAGTCTGGAAGAAAAACAAGGAGGGCTGGCCCATGTGGGTAAACCGCATTTGGAGCTTAGAACAGCGCACTCCCTTCACGCACGAGGCGGCAAAGCGGGTGGTCACGGCCATAGGGCTGCCGTGGCCGAAGGTGGGGGCCATCATCAGAGCCTTGCCGCCCGATGAAGCCTTGGGAGGAGAAATCTTAAGGCTGGTGATTAGAAATCTAGGGGAATATGAGCCCCTCAAGGATAACATGGAAGGGGCGCCCTGGAGAGATATCCAGGAGGCGGCGGCGTACGTGTGTGGGAATGTGGTGCTGCGGGCACTAAAGCAGCAGGAGAAACCCGTGAGCTCCGATTTTGACATTCTGGGCATGAATGTGGAGCAGGGGGATGTCGGGGTGCTGGCCTGCCGTGCTCCCGAGGCACACAGGGGGTTCTTCATCAGCCTGGGTTCCACGCTGATTGGCCGTCCCCTCCAAGAGTGCATGGCCACCCTGGAGAACCTGGGCACCCTGGTGGGGGCGGAGGGGAAAGAGAAGGCGAAGAAGGAAGCAGCGAGGGTGAGGACGTACATCCCTAGGGGGATAATTTGGAGATACTTGATAAATCAGGGAGTAAATGAAGGAGAGCTAGATAGTCAGCCCACAGGAGTTCTGCTCGCCAAAATGAAGAAAATCCTTCAGGAAAAAGGGATGAAACAAGAGGAGATTTGGGAAAAACTAAAGCAGATGAAGCCATTGCCTCCTCTTCCTACCCCAAAGAGAAAACAATATCCGTTACAGAAGGACCTTAAAGATTAGGGGTCCCAGCCCCGGTGTCAATGGGATTAACCTCCACCACGCTTACTTGATATCTGGAAGAAGGAACTGCCTGGAAGCGCAGTGTCTGCTGAATGGCAGTGAGAAGTTACACATTCGTTCTCAGTTGATATGGGATTAAAAGCAACATTATTAGATTATGAGGGGGTCTGGGATAAATCAGTATTGGGAGTATTAGGGGGAAAAGAAGTAGAAGCACACATGTGCATGGGGGAAGATGAAGTGAATGGGCAGATAATGCTGGTGAAGGGGTAAGGAGGGCAGATATTTTAGGAAGGCGTTTCCTGTCCCAGTTCAGGGTAGATCTGTCCATACGAAAGCTACATTTGTTGTTGCTTCAAAAAATGAAAATATGAGGGGAGTCTCCAAGTCAGTGAAATGCTGGTATAAAAGTGAAGTGAAAGCAAGAAGTGTCCCAGTTTCAGCAAGGCAGAGCTGACTTTCTTCAGGGCGTGTGGTGTGGTGCTGTGTTTTGGCTTCAGGAGAAATACAGTGTTGATAGTGCACTGATGTTTTTGCTGTTGCTGAGTGGTGCTGCACAGAGCCAAGGACATTTCATCTTTTGGTACTGTCCTGCTAGCAAGGGGGCTGGGAGTTACAGAAGCGAGGAGGAGACAGAACCAGAGCAGCTGACCTACACTGGCTAAAGGGATAACTCATAGCATATGGCATCATGTTGGACAACAGAGCTGGGGAGAGCTGCTCAGGGGAGCAGCTGCTGCTAAGGGATGGGTTGGGCATTAGTCAGCGAATGGTAAGCAGTCACCTGGTGTATCACTTGTGCGTGTGTATCTGTATATAATTTTTGTTTCTGTTAATTTCTATTTCTTTTCTTAGTGAATTGTTTTTATCTTAACCCAGGAGCTATACTTTATTTTTTTTCCCCAGTTCTCTCCCTCATCCCACAGTGAGCAAACAGCTGCCTGCTAGATTAAACCACAACACAGATAGTAAAGAGAGACTGTGAGGTAATTCCATGTGATGACCCTGTCACCCAGAACTGCCGCAGTGCACAGAGGGGTCATGAGGAGGCTCGGGGGTACAAGAAAGGCTTTAAGGAATGGGACTTAGAACTCCTACATTCACGATTCCTGGCTGAATCCAGGAATATGGACTATGTTGATGGTGGAAATTTCTTGCAGTGAACAGTCTGCTTTGGGTTATGCCTTTCATCCCTGAGAACAGACACGATTTGAGCAGTGGTAAATTGATTATGCAGGCCCTTTAAAGAGACTAAAGGATATCAACTTAATAGAATTATAGAATTTTTTGGGTTGGAAGGGACCTTTAAGATCATCTACTTCCAACTTCCCTGCTATAGGCAGGGACACCTCCCTCTAGACCATGTTGCTCAAACCCTATCCAGCCTGGCCTCAAATGCTTCCATGGAGGGAGCATCCACAGCCTCTTCTGGGCAACCTGTTCCAGTGTCTCACCACTGTCACAGTAAAGAACTTCTTTCTGATACCTAGTCTAAATCTATCCTCCAAGCCATTCTGCTTCCCAGAATTCGGATACATATTCATTCCATTTCTGAGAACCCATAGCATGTGGTCCCTCCCCCTCGTGCATGTGTAGTGAGTTGTGGGCGTCTCCTCCTTGTGGTCATGGGATGAAGAATAACAGTCTTCCTCATGAAGGCTTGTAGTCTTCCTTGCTGTAAACTCTTGATCCTGCAAGAGGGGCAGCCCCTGATCCAGTTCTAACTTCTCTTAGGGACATCTTGCCACTTACCAAATGTCTTCAAGCTATTCTCAAAACTTTTATCTTTGTCCTCCACCTCCCGATTGTTCTAATCCCAGCTTGTTGCAATCTTCATTCTTTTAGCAGTCTGCACATCTGTTTCTGTGAACCATCTTTTACTCTTCAATTCTCTGCCAAGCATGTATTTGCACATGGGATTGCCTTCATGCAGGTGCAGAGCCTTGCACTTGTTTGTTGCCATTGACAGAACAAGATGGGTGGAGAGGCAGAGGCAGTCTGTGAGGCTGCTGCTAATACCACTGTTTAATGTTCACGTGAAATATTGAACAGATTTGACTCTGTTCATAATTGATTCAGATAAAGGAAGCCACATGACAGATGGACCAGCTCAGAAATTTCTTAAAGGCATGGAGCTACATTGATTAACTCTTATTTCCTACTGTTCACAGTCCTTCAGCTGTTAGCTGCATCAGGGTGAGACTGAAGGTAATTGACGAAGTAAGAGGACTGACCTGGAACGAAGCAATCCTGGTTTTGTGTGAGCGAAGAACATATGAGGTACCAGTGATAGCTGCTGAGAGCTATGCCTGAATATGGCCATGGCCAGAAAACTCTCTGGCCCAACTTAAAGGTTGGGTTAAAAGCTATTTGTTATTAAGGAAGAAAAGGAAGAAAAAATAATAATAAAAATACAATAGACAAATACAATTGTCATTGCTGTATACAGGTACAATGCAATTGCTCAGCTAGTCATCAGGAGCTGATGCCAAGCCAGTTCCTGAGCAGTGGCTGCCTCCCCTGGTGAGCTTCCCACGGCTTTATACTTTTTTATGTGATATGCGGGGGGAAAGCATCTGGGCAGTGGAGGACTGCTGAAACTGCTGATCCTCCCATGGTACTGCTCACCAATGAGATGCCCATGTCTTGTTTTGCAGGTTCTATGGGTAAAGATAGAAACCAAAGTACAATGTGGGTCATTTGCTCTGCTCTGTTGTGAATGCTCTGCCTTGCCTCTTGCCTCTTGATCTAGATGTTGTTTTTTTCTGACACCTAACTCCAAGTAAGCAGACAAAAGACATTGAATTGAATTACTTTCCATTATTTTTGGTCTGATTTTTGGGTGGTGCTGTGTGGAGCCAAGAGTTGGACTGGATAATCCTTATGGGTCCCTTCCAACTTGGGATATTCTATGATCACATACTATTGAATATCCTGTTAGTTAATTTAAGAAGCTTTAAGACTGGAAAAGACCACTAAGCTCATCTAGTCCAACCATCAACCCATCACCACCACGCCCACTAAACCATGTCCCTCAGTGATGTACTGTGTAGAAAGGCCATAACAGATATAGCTGCTTTAAGCCAGTCTGTCTTCCAAAAATTTTGCCAACATGTCCAGGTCTGTCAATCTTTTGTAGATTGAATCATAGAATCGTAGAATCGCAAGGTTGGAAACTACCTGCAAGATCATCTAGTCCAACCACCCTCCCATTCCTATCAGTACCACAAGCTACTAAACCATATCTCATAGCTCCTCATCCAGGCGCCTCTTGCACACTGCCAGGGATGGCGACTCCACCACCTCCCTGGGCAGCCATTCCAGTGCCTGACCACCCTCTGAGAGAAAAAGTTTCCTAATATCTAACCTAAACCTCCTCTGGTATAACTTCTGGCCGTTTTCTCAGGTCCTACTATTTGCCTGGAAGAAGAGGTCAGACCCTTTTTCATCACAACCTCCCTTCAGGAAGTTGTACAGTGCAATGAGGTCTCCCCTGAGCCTCCTCTTCTCCAGACTGAACAATCCCAGCTCCCTCAGCTGCTCCTCATAAGACTTGTGCTCCAGACCCCTCACCAGTTTGGTTGCCCTTCTCTGGACACGTTCCAGGGCCTCAATGTCTTTCTTGTAGTGAGGGGCCCAAAACTGAACACAGTACTTGAGGTGCAGCCTCACCAGTGCTGAGTACAGGGGGATGATCACCTCCCTGCTCCTGCTGGCCACACCATTCCTAATGCAGGCCAGGATGCTGTTGGCCCTCTTGGCCACCTGGGCACACTGTCGGCTCATGTTCAGCTGAGCATCAACCAACACCCCCAGGTTCCTTTCCTCTTCACGCTCATCCAGCCACTCATCCCTAAGCCTGTAGCGCTGCATGGGGTTGTTGTGGCCAAAGTGCAGTGTTGTAACCTTCACCCGTTCGTTTTCCCTGGGAGACCGCAGCTTGGCCAATTACTGAGGTGACACCAATATGGTGAACAGCAAAATGGTGCTTTAATGGAACACACGCGTGCTTATATATGGAAAGGCGGAGGGCCTAACGCGTTACAACCCGAAGATGGCGCAAGCGCCTAATACAACATCTCCCCCTCCCCATGCCAAAAGAAACCTTGCCCCGTTACAATACGCAATGTGCTAAACCTAAACAACATGTATTTTAGAATTTATCCTGCATTCTACGATATTCCAATTGCGTGTAGATCATTTTCTCAGTCATTTGTTGTATACAACCTTGCAAACATCGAAAGATACATGGCAAGCACAGCATTAGTCCCAAAAATATAAGAAGCCCTATTACTAATGCTTTAAGTAACTGCTTAAGCCATGGCCCAATCCCACCAAACAAATTCTCCAACCAATTTCCGAAGGGATCTTCCTGTATTCCGATCTTTTTCGTATGTTCCTTTAGCAGTTGTAACTTCTTATGTAGCGATTCACTGTGATCGCTTAAATTGAAACAACACATCCCTTCAAAGTCGTTGCATCCATGACCCTGTGCCAGGAGTAGGAAGTCGATCGCCGCTCTATTCTGGAGCACAGCATGCCTAAGGCTATCAACGTCCATGAGTAGTTCGCTTAGGAGCGCAGAAGTCATGTTGGCCTGTTTCATGGACCAACAAGCTAGTCTTTCTGTGTCCTTAAGCGCTTGAGCCGCGGCTACTCCCGGAGCCAGGATGGATGCAAATATTCATGCAGTTGGTCCCCAAAGGTGTACCTCGTCACCGCAGTCTGATCCTAGGGTGTGAATACTTTGCTTTTTCCGAGTCCCTTTACTCATGTCCCTGACCAATTATATATATGCTTATATATGGAAAGGGGGAGGGCCTAACGCATTACAACCCGAAGATGGTGCAACCAACACCCCCAGGTCCCTTTCCTCTTCACACTCATCCACCCACTCATCCCTAAGCCTGCATGGGGTTGTTGTGGCCAAAGTGCAGAACCCGGCACTTAGCCTTGTTAAACCTCATCCCATTCACCTCAGCCCAGCGATCCAGCTTATCTAGATCCCTCTGCAGGGCCTCCCTGCCCTCAGGCAGATCGGCACCACCTCCCAACTTGTTGTCATCTGCAAACTTACTAAATATATACTCAATCCCTTCATCTAAGTCGTCAATGAAGATATTAAACAGGATGGGCCCCAGCACCGACCCCTGGGGGACACCACTTGAAACAGGTCTCCAGGTAGACTTCACTCCATTGACCACCACCCGTTGAGCACGGCCCTCCAGCCAGTTCCTTATCCAACGGAGGGTAAAACTGTCCAAGCCACGGGCAGCCAGTTTCCGCAGAAGGATACTGTGAGAGACCATGTCAAAGGCTTTGCTGAAGTCTAGGTAGACTACATCAACTGCCTTTCCCTCATCTACCAGTCTGGTCACCCAGTCGTAGAAGGAGATGAGGTTGGTCAAACACGACCTGCCTTTCATGAACCCATGGTGGCTGGGCCTGATCCCGTGGACAAGCTGTGTGATCTCTCCCAGAAGGATTTGTTCCATGGCCTTCCCTGGCACTGATGTCAGGCTGACAGGCCTGTAGTTCCCCGGATCCTCCTTACGGCCCTTCTTGTAGATGGGAGTCACATCAGCAAGCCTCCAATCCTCTGGAACCTCTCCAGTCAACCAGGAGCGCTGGTAGATAGCCGAGAGCAGCTTAGCGATCACCCCCGCCAACTCCCTCAGCACCCTAGGATGAAGCCCATCCGGTCCCATGGACTTGTGACTGTCCAGATGGAGGAGCTCTCTAACTGTCTCCACCTCGATCTCCGGGGAGACGTGCTGCATGTCAGCCCAGATATCCAGAACAGGGCAAAAGATAGCTGGTCTGACTATTAAAGGCAGATGTAAAGAAGGCGTTGAGGACCTCAGCCTTCTCTTTGTCATCTGTGGTCACATTCCCCGCCGCATCAATTAAAGGACAGAGATTATCCTTGGTTTTTCTCTTGCCATTGATATATTTGTAAAAGGATTTCTTATTCTGCTTTACTGCAGTGGCCAATCTAAGTTCAAGATGGGCTTTCGCCTTCCGGACTTCCTCGCTGCATACCTTAGCTACTCCCTTGTAATCTCCCCTAGTAGCCTGTCCCTTCTTCCACAGGACATAGACTCTCTTTTTCTTCCTGAGTCTTGACAGTAATTCCCGGCTCATCCACACCAGTCTTCTCCCCCTATGGCTCGCCCTACGGTATTCAGGGACAGCCTGTTTTTGTGCCTTTAAGATTTCCACCTTGAGGAGCGTCCAGGCTTCCTGGACCCCTTTATCCTTAAGGAGCGACTCCCAAAGGACCCGTGCTACAAGCGTCCTGAGCAGGTCAAAGTCCGCCCTCTTGAAGTTCAAGATAGCAGTTTTGGTAGTCACCCTTCTGACATCTCCAAGAATAGAGAACTCTACAATTTCATGGCCGCTCTGCCCTAGACAGTCTCCAACCTTCACATCACCTACCAGTCCTTCTCTGTTAGCAAAGAGCAGGTCAAGCAGGGCACCACCCCTGGTAGGCTCTCATACCAGCTGTGTAAGGAAGCTATCTTCCACTGTCAACGGTTTACGGGCTGGTTCGGCCCAGTTCCGTGACCAGCGGGGCAGAGGGATCTGCAGATCCGTGCCTCCGGAAAAGGGAAACAGGGGACCCCAAAATAATTGAAAACAACAGCAATAATCTGAGGTGGAACAAACTGATTTACTAAATATAGTATTAGCAAAGTACAATGAGAGAGAGAGAGTGTGTCTGAATGGTAGATAGGCCTCACCACAATGCTGAGGTGAGAAGTGCAGTCCAGTTGAGTGAATGAAGAAAAGCAGACGGCAAAGCGCAGGCGAAGAATAAGGAATCAGGTGACCCTGCACAGAGTTCTGTCTCCTCGCTGACCACCAAGCCTCCTGGGGAAATGTAGTTCTTCTCCTTCGGACAGGCACCTGTAACTTCAGCATCAGCAGTCAAACCCCCGGTGCATTACATGATGTAATGGTGTGGAATACTGATAACCAAAAATCATAAAACCATGACATCCACACACTCTAGAAACCTCTTGGACTGCTTCCTTTGAGCCATATTGTATTTCCAACATCTATCAGGGAAGTTGAAATCCCCCACAAGAACGAGTGCTGGCGGTCGCATGACTTCTGCAAGCTACTCATAGAACGCCTCGTCCATCTCCTCATCCTGATTCGGCGGTCTATAACAGACCCCAGCTATGATGTCTCCCCTACAGGCCTTCCCCCGATCCTCACCCATAGACACTCCACTTTATCATCTGCAATCTCAAGCTCTTCAACATCAAAACAGTCTTTAATATAAAGGGCCACACCACCACCCTTTCTTGCTTGTCTATCCCTTCTGAAGAGCTTATAGCCATCCATCACAACTCTCCAGTCATGGGAGCAGTCCCACCATGTTTCAGTAACAGCAGCTAGATCATAGCCTGGCACACAGTCGCTTCTAGCCCCTCCTGCTTGTTGCTCATGCTGCATGCATTGATATAGATGCACTTGTGCCGAGTCATTTGCCTCACTCCCAGCTCTAAAATCGTTTCCCTAGGCTCTTCTCTTGTGAGGCCTGTACTATCCCCTTCTCCCGTCATAATTAGTTTAAAGCTCTATCGATGAGCCCCGCTAGCTCCTGAGCTAAGATTCATTGCCCCCTTTGAGATAGGTGGGTTCCATGGTTGGACAGCAAGCCAGGGGCCGAGTAAACTACCCCATGGTCGAAGAACCCAAAGTTTCTGGCTCAGCACCAGCCTCTGAGCCAGTTATTCATTGCTTGCACCTTCCATGCAAGCTCTGAGTCCCACACTGCCCCTGATAGTACAGAACGAAAGACTACTTGTGCTCCTGCACCTTGAACTAAGCACCCTAAACCCTTGAAATCCCTTTTCATTGCCCGTAGGTTTATCTGAGCAATTTCTTCACTGCCCACCTGAACTATGAGCAACGGAAAGTAATCAGTGGGCCTCACCAGCTTTGGTATTTTCCTGCTTATGTCCCTGACCCGGGCCCCAGGAAGGCAGCACGCTTCTCGGTGGCTCGGGTCTGGTCTGCGTATGGGGCCCTCCGTTCCCCTGAGAAGGGAGTCACCCACCACGTCCACCCTTCTTTCTTTCCTGACAGAGGCAGTCTGGAGGCATGGGGGTGGCCGCCTCGCCTTAGACTCCCTCCTTGCCTTAGGCTCCCTCCTGGGCAGATCCTCCATCACCTCATGGCTCACCTCACCTTCCATTTCCAGCATGTGAAAGCTGTTGCTAAGGGGGATCTGGGGAAGCGGGGTAGACAGGCAGGGGGGGTTCCCATGACGTCGAGTAGGGATTCTCGTCCAACCCTCCTCATCAGTCAGGTCTGTCCTACTCTGGTGGGGCTGGGGGTCCACCACTTTTATGAGGGTGTCTCCCTGGCACCCTTTCCTCTGACATGCCAGCCAGGCACTCCACCAGTCTATCTCCCGCTCACATTCTCTGATGGTCCTAAGTTTCTGTACCTCTTCCTTGAGCTCAACCACCAGCTGGAGTAACTCATCCACCTGCTCACACCTCACGCAGGTGTAATCCCTGCCATCCTCCCCAAGTAGCAGCAGGTTCAAGCAGTCCCTGCAGCCAGAGACTTGAGCAGCCACATTTCTAAGCAGCCCCTCCGTCTGGGTTGCCACAGTCTTCTTGGAATAAACTCGTTGTCTGGTGGAAACCATGTTAGCCTCCCTGTTCTCAATAGGCTGAAACAATGGTTCACGCCTGCTCTGCTGTGTGCTGTGTGCTCCCTGTCGCTATTTATGGATTATTAGAAGGTGTGAACTGCTTATTAGCAGCTGCGAACACGTTAAGAGCGGGGGTTTAAACTGAGTGGTGAATGAGCTGGCACCACCTTCGCCAAGTCAAGATCCTGCCCACAAGCTGCCCACAAGCATGGCACTGCTGCTAGCTTCAAACTAGCCCTAAAAAGAGCTTTTTGGTCAGTCTCTTTTACTTCAGATCCCTTGCCCAGCGCAGTCTTACCTGCTCTGATGCATGTCACCGCAGCAAATGTGGTGCTTTCAGGTGCTGGAAGAGAGTAATAAGGTCTCCCCTTGGCTGCTTCTTCCCCAGACTAAATGGCCCCAGCTCCCTCAGCCTCTCCTCATAGGGCTGATTTTCCAAGCCCTTCACCAGCCTCGTTGCCATTCTCTGGACCTCCAGTACCTCCACATCCTTTCTGTACTGAGGTGCCCAAAACTGAACACAGTGCTTGAGGTGAGGCCTCACCAATGCTGAGTACAGGGCAGGATGACTTCCCTAGTCCTGCTCACCACACCATTCCTGATACAAGCCAGGATGCCATTGGTCTTCTTGGCCAGCAGGGCACACTGCTGGCTCATATTCAGCTGACTGTCCATCAGAACATCAAGATCCCTTTCCATCAGGCAGCTTTCCAGCCACACCTCCCCAAGCCTATAGGGGTGTCTGGGGTTGTTGTGACCAAAATGCAGGACCGAACACTTGGCCCTGTTGAAACTCATGCCGTTAACCTCAGCGCATTGATCCAGTCTGTCCAGGTCCCTCTGCAGTGCCCTTCTCCCTTCTGGCAGATCAACACTTCCTCCCAGCTTGGTGTTGTCTGCAAACTTACTGAGGGTGCAATCAATCCCCTCATCAAGATCGTCAATGAAGATGTTAAACAGAAGCGGCCCCAGTACTGAGCCTTGGGGGACACCACTTGTGAGCGGCCGCCAACTAGATCCAACTCCATTGACTACGAATCTTTGGGCCCGGCCATCCAGCCAGTGCTTCACCCAGTGGAGCGTACACCCATTCAGACCGTGGGCAGCCATCTTCTCCACGAGAATGTTATGGGGGACAGTGTCAAAGGCCTTACTGAAGTCCAGGTAGGACCACATCGACACCCTGACCCTCATCCACTAAGTGGGTCATCTTGTCATAGAATGAAGTCAGGTTTGTCAGACAGGATCTACCATTCACAAACCCATGCTGACTGGGCCTGAT